TGATTTTTGGACATAGAAAGTAGAGCTTTCCTGATTTGGCATTGTAATGAACTCTAAATATGTTTTTCTATTATTAATATTACTACCATTAAAAATCCAACCTTTGAAAAAACATATGATTATCAGTTCTACTGAAATCTGGTATTTTTAGCATTTTGCCTTGGTCTCTGATCAGGTCCTCTTTATGGCTACAAGCTTCCAGGGAAGGCCTAAAAATGATGTCCATGGCAAGGGGAAACATTTGGCTTCTTTTGCATTCTGACTTTTCTGTCTTTGTAAGCAAATCACAAGAGCAAATCCTCTAAATGTCTTCCACTTCAAGTCAGTCCTTCAAAATATTAGTTAGGAAGGAGGTAGAACAGGAAACTCAAGTCTGCAGAGCAGAATATTAAGGACTTGGGTTTTCTTGCCTCTTCTCTCAGCTCTCGCCACAGAGCTATAATTGGGAGGATAAGGTGATTGCTAAGTTAACTCTGCTTTGTTTTCAGGTTTTTTTTTTTTTCCCCTTCAAAGTATATGGATATAATATGGAATAGTAAACAGAAAATTATTTTAGAATAAAAGGCACTGACTTTTTTTTTTTTTAAGTATTTTATTTCTTTATTTGAGAGAGAGAGAAAGCACAGAGGGAGAGTGAGAGGGAGAAGCAGGTTCCCTGCTGAGCAGGGAGCCCGATGCGGGGCTCGATCCCAGGACCCTGGAATCATGACCTGAGCCAAAGGCAAACACTTAACCGACTGAGCCACCCAGGCACCCCTAAAAGGTACTGACTTTAAAGCTAGCTATTTGGCATACAGTATCCTGTGATACCATTTTTCTTTAAACAAAAATACTGAAAATGGCTATGAGAATAAATATTTAATGTTGGTGCTTATGGCTTGAGAAAGAAAAACAAGTTCACATCTTGCAGGCTGGAGAGATTGTTTAGGCTTATGTCAATCCAGTAAGAATATATTTGGGTATTTATTAAATGTCTGTTGCTTTGAGTTTTTAAAAAATTATGGTAAGTCCAACTCATTTTTTAAAAATTTAAAAACAATTTTTTTGAAATGTGATGTATATTTAATAAAATACATCTATTTTTTTTAAAGATTTTATTCATTTATTTGAGAGAGAGAATGAGAGATAGAGAGCACGAGAGGGAAGAGGGTCAGAGGGAGAAGAAGACTCCCTGCTGAGCAGGGAGCCGGATGTGGGACTCGATCCCGGGACTCCGGGATCATGACCTGAGCCGAAGGCAGTCGCCCAACCAACTGAGCCACCCAGGCGCCCAAAATACATCTATTTTAAATGTACTGTATGATGAGTTTTGTCAAATGTATGCTACTGTAACCACTACCCCCAATCAAGATATGTATGGAGTATTTTCATCAACCCCCCAAATTCCCTTATGCTTTCATTATACCATTATACTACCCTACTATACTCTAACACTACTTACCACATTTTATTGTAATAATTTGTTTAGCCTGTCCCCCTCACTCTAAACTGAGGAACCTGAAGCAGAAACTCCATGTTTTTATCTTTACCACCTAGGAACACAGTGCCTGAGTAGGTGATCAATTAAAAGTTAATTCAAGTTCTTACTGTGCACCAACTACCGCTCTCAGCTCTTTTTTAAATTTTATTTTTATTTTTTTAAGTGGGTGTGGAGCCCAACACAGGGCTTGAACTCATGATCCTGAGATCAAGGCTTGAGCTGAGATCAAGAGCTAGACACTTAACCGACTAAGCCACCGAGGCTCCCCTGCTCTCAGTTCTTTACAAGTATTTTCAACAACAACCATATGGGCCAGGTACTATTATCCTTAATTTTCAGATGAGAAAAGTGAGGTTCAGAAAAGTAGACATCCATCCAAGGTCACACAGCTCAGTTACTAAACTTCTCTTGTCAAAGAGAATGCAGGTTTTCTTTTCTCCACAGCTTTCTTTATAGCTTTTCTACTTGGTCAACTATAGAAACCCTCATCTCTTCTTCCACTACTGACGATACTGATCTATCTATCACATTACTTCTGCTGTCTGACCTATCATCACATCTCTTCCCATCCCATTCACCAAGCATATATTGAATGCATTAGCAATCCAAGTAGGTATCTAATCTCAAAAGAATTCGGGTGGAAGACATTAACATGTAAACAACTGAAAAACAACCCCCCCCCACACCAAACACAGTGCAAAAATGTTGACTTTCACAGGTGAAAGACAGCAGGAGATTGCTAAAATGTCCTTTCTTGAAGCTGTGCCACCAGCTTTACCTCTTGCCTTCCATCCCTCAAGGAGTCATCATTTCATAACCAGATAATTATAAGCTTCCTACTTACCTTGAAGGAGTCTCTTTCCCATCCAGCATGGTCTATGTTCTCCTGCCAGGTTGTACCACAGCTAATTCCAAAAGGGACTATTCTGTTTGAAGATCTGTATCTCCCTGTTAAGCTTTCAAAGCCTTCTACCTGCTGCCCCTACCAACCTATTCAGGCCCATCTCCCACAACTTTGAGACAAGACCTCCACTATTCCAGCTAGGAATAAAGAATCTCTCTTGAGTACCATTCTAATTTGTCCTGTTGTACCTTTATACTTTTCCTAATACATTGAAATTTATCACTTTTCAATATAATGCCTTTAGTCCTAATGACTCTGACAGGTAGATGGGGCGGGGCGGGGGGGCGGCGGGGAATGAAGAGATAAGGGTCTCTTTAACAGATCCTGAGATGGGGAGGTAGTTTGAGCTGAGGCTCTGTATCATTCTCTATTGCAGCAGGCTCTGGGAAAGTCCCATTTGGCAGAGCTTCTGGCCATGAGCCACAGAATCACCAAATTAAGTCTTGTCCTCAAGGCACATACCACTGTGCTACACTTGCCAGGTGTGGGAACAGCTACCTGGTGGCCTAATGAGTTACAAAGGAACTACAGCAGCTAGGATGAAGCTAGCTCTGGTGCAAAACTGTCTACATATTCAGGCACCAAAAGCTAAAGTCCCATTTGGTAGTATTAAGGAGCATGTTAGTTTTTTGTTTTTTAAGGTGTGATAATGTCATTGAGGTATTTGTTTAAAAGATAAAAAGACTTTATATTTTACAGATACATATGCAGATATTTATAGATAATAACAACTGAAATAATTACAGATGAAATTACATCAAAATGACTTGCTTTTAAATAATCTGGCATGACAGTGGAGAGATGGGTGGTGGCACATATAAAACAAGACTGGCCATGAACTGATACTTGTCGAACCTGTGCGATGGATTCAGGGAGTTCATTACATTACTTTCTCTACTTTTGGCTTTGTGTGAAGTTTGCCCTAGTAAGTAGTTAAAAAAAAAAAAAAATTTCTACCACCACTGCATTCTCTCCCAACACATCACAGGGCCTACTTCACAGGGCTTCATTTTCACTTGAGAATAAAAAACATGCCCTTAAAGGCCAAGAGCTAACTTCATTTTTTTTTAAAGTTTTAATTTATTTATTCATGAGAGACACAGAGAGAGAGAGAGAGAGAGAGAGGCAGAGGGAGAAGCAGGCTCCCCGCGGAGCAGGGAACCTGATGCGGGACTCAATCCCAGGACCCTGGGACCATGACCGGAGCCTAAGACAGACGCTTAACCATCTGAGTCACCCAGGCACCCCGAGTTAACTTCATTTTTGGAATACAGAGAGCCTGGACTGGTGACTGGAAAAGACTGAATTACTGTCTAATCTTGGCGTAAGTTTCCTTGCTATTTAAAAAGCAAAGTCTCCGCAATCTACCCTGGAGCTTAGGCTGCAAATTTCCTGAGGGCAGGGCCCACATCTGCTTATTTACCATTGATCCTGCAGTTGACTTAGCACAATGCCTGCCTCATCACAGGCACTTAATAAATACCTGTTGACTGAATGATAAAACAGAATAGTAAGTCAGAGGGGAGCAGGGCAACAGGGTGTCCCTAGGGTAAGGAAATAGAGAAATAATCCCTGGAAACGTTTTCCAGGAGTCCAAATGATTTTTTACCATTGGTTCTACACGGGTCTTCCTAGGGGGGGTTTAGCAGGTGTAGTCAAGGGTGAGGGTTAGGATGCTACAAGAAAAAGATTGGGCACAAAGGAACACTTCCTCTTTCCCTATTATAATATTCCTGTATATATCCAAGTCTATCAGTCAAAGCCATGCTAGCATTTAAACTCAGGTTCTCAGACTCTCTTCCTCAGCTGGTCTAAGGAACTTGCTGCTGCGGCACCAGCCTACTTGCTTTCCAGTCTATCAGTGCTATTCAAGGTAGAAACTTCCTCAGCAGCCATCAAGGGAGACTAGCTGCTCCTCTTCTTAACCACACAGTTATTAAATCTTTTCCTACCTGTTCCTCTGAGGACTCTAATTGCATTTACTATAAAAAAATCCTTGAGATCAACCTCAGAGGAGGTTTTTTCTCTGGAAACCCAAGTCCTGGGATCTGTCAGACAGATCTGTGGAAAGTATTTAAGGTTCACAATTCTGTTCTCAAAGCAAAATCAGAGAAAGTATCAAATTTTGTTTCTCTGCATTCATGAAAGGCCACTCAGTGAAGTGGACTTTTCCAAAATTGGAGGGAAACTTTTTTCTCCCTCTTCTTGGGTAAGTCTCTGAACCATTGCTAAGAGGGCCCACCTATAGGATAACTGCCTAGGGGAAGGACACCTGCTTGGAGACAAAATAGCACTAGAGCTAGGGAGCTCAACCTTGCGGAAGGAAGTAAGAAGAGCCTGCAACTGTGCAGAAAGAGGCATCATAGGTTACATTAGTTTTACAAAAATATTTTGTTGGTTTATTATAACACAGGCCCCAAAAGTACAAGCAGGGGACTCTGTGATACAAAATAACAGTATTTAGATAACACGATTTCATTTTTTTTTTAAATAAAGGCAAGAATCAACTGTTATTTATATGAACCAGCTATCTAACATCATCAAGGTTTAAAACTGTTAATAAGAACCAAGGTAGTTTAAAAACTGTGAGTTTGACTCCACCTCCCTCTTTCTTACTTATTTTCCATTAGGAAGTCCACAACGTATTTTTTCAAGCAGTAGAGATGGGCGTCCACAAGGCCTGTGTGGAAATGTATTCTAGGGTGCCTGCAAAAACAATAAGAGAGAAGGGGCTCACAATCAAGTAACATGGGTTCTACCCTATTATTAGGTAGTAGGCATTAAGAAGTTTATAAGGGTCAAAGCCATGATCCCCACTGGTCTCCTACTCTGGGGAGACCAAGATGGTGGATACCAGTTCTGATCCTACCACAGAAAAGGCCTTCTTTTTATAGAAACCCTACCTCACACTTTATCAGGCCTTTAGGTGAACCATCAAATCACTGACAAGTCATCTTCTTCTATTCTATCACAAACTCCTACTCACAATTCTTTTTTGTAAGATTTGTTTATTTTAGAGACAGAGAGAGAGCATGAGAGCACGAGCAGGGGGAAGGGCAGAGCGAGAGGATCCTGAAGCAGACTCCCCGCTGAGTGTAGAGCATAACACGGGGCTTGATCCCAGGACCCTGAGATCATGACCTGAACCAAAATCAAGAGTAGGCCGCTTAACCGACTGAGCCACCCAGGTGCCCCTCACAATTCTTATAACTAACATTTTACTGCTTTTACTTCAACTGCCCTACTTCCTGCAGATCATACTTCAGCCATGCTTTCCCCCAGGATTTGGCATGTATTAGTCCATTTTCATAGAAGATGAAGTAAAATTCTATGAATACTCACTAACTCCCTACTCTCATGTATTCATCAGGACTTTCCCCAGATATACTTCCTCCAGGAAACCTTCACTGACAACCCGAGTTTATGCTCCCACAGCACTGGGTGCCCACCTCTACCAGATAAGTTATCACCCAGTAAGTAATAGCCTACTTACTTGGCTCTTTCTCCCGCTAGACTGGGAGTTCCCTGAAGGCAGAGATTTATCTTTACAGCCTTAGCTCTTAGCATCATACCTCACACAGAGAATATGTTTAAAAAATAGCTGTTGAATAAACAAACAAATGAATGAATTAGGTCAAATTAAAGTTCTGCTTAGTTGCTGTCTATTTTATTTATTTATTTTATTATTATTATTTTTTAAAGATTTTATTTATTTATTTGAGAGAGAGAATGAGAGATAGGAGCACGAGAGGGAAGAGGGTCAGAGGGAGAAGCAGACTCCCCGCTGAGCAGGGAGCCCGATGCGGCACCCGATCCCGGGACTCCAGGATCATGACCTGAGCCGAAGGCAGTCGCTTAACCAACTGAGCCACCCAGGCGCCCAGTACTTCCCAATTTTAGATTCTTGAGTACTAAGAAGTTCTTGAGGAAACAGAATTTTACAAATGTGAATGTGGTTACTTTGTGGTGCCAGGGTTTCATCTGAAGTCCACACCCTACGGGTGCCTGGGTGGCTCAGTCAGTTAAAGCGTCTGCCTTGGGCTCAGGTCATGATCCCACAGTTCTGGGATGGAGCCCCGCAATGGGCTCCCTGCTCAGTGGGGAGTCTGCTGATCCCTCTGCCTCCCCTCCCCAGCTCATGCTCTCTTTCTCTCTCAAATAAATAAATAAAATCTTAAAAAAAAAAATGAAGTTCATACCCTGATAATCCTCTCCCTTGATCTAACCAATTTAGAAAGTTACACTCTCCTGTTCAGTCCCTTGGTTTACAAATTCCTTGAATCATTCAACACGTTCTACCTATATTAATTCTCATAACTACCTCACAAGGTAGATATATTACTCTTATTTTTATAGCTGAGGTCAACTTATATTATACACACAGGAAAGTAATAACTTAAGAGTTTGAATAAATAGGGTGCCTGGGAGGCTCAGCTGGCCAAGTTGGAGCTGCAAGGGGAGCTGCAGTCAGAGAGGCAGAGAGAGAAGCGATGCGGGGCTCGATCCCAGGACCCCGGGATCATGACCTGAGCTGAAGGCAGACACTTAACTGACTGAGCCACCCAGGCACCCCTTAAAATTTTTTTAAAAATATAATTTGCCAACCACAGAAAAGTCCATTATAATAAAAAATAAAATATATGAAAAACTTGTGAGAGTCCAATGATAAAAATAAGAGCTCAGACAAATGGTATAAAAAAAGTCTTGAGTCTATCATACCTTTGAAAAGCTCCCACAGGTTTTTTCTTCCTTTCTTCTAACACAGAAAGAATTTTTAAAATGCCATTAAAATGGTCTATTATTAAAAAAAGAAACAGGGAGTACAGAAGAAAAGAAGATCTTGGAAAAGTGGAACAGATAATGGACAAAGATACAAAAGTCTAGGAAACCTAAAACAATAGAGCCATTGGGAACATAAAGAATATATTTGGGTTATTTTTATAGACATATTTTTTTAAAAAGCTGCAGATTTTAGAATTTGATTTTGTAATGTTTAATATTTTGATAGAAATAAAGCATGTTTTTATGATCTTAAAAACAGGAATATCAATTTTTAAGGCAAGGAACAAAACCAATAGGTGAAATAATTATAACAATGTTTTTTAAAAGATTTTATTTATTTATTTGACAGAGAGAGAGAGAGACAGCTAGAGAGGGAACACAAGCAGGGGGAGTGGGAGAGGGAGAAGCAGGCTCCTGGCCGAGCAGGGTGCCCAATGCGGGGCTTGATCCCAGGACCCTGGGATCATGACCTGAGCCGAAGGCAGACGCTTAACAACTGAGCCACCCAGGCATCCCAAAGATTTACTTATTTATTTTAGAAAGAGAGCACGCAAGGGAGGGGAGGGGCAGAGGGAGAGAGAGAATCTTAAGCAGACTCCCTGCTGAGTGTGGGGCCTGACGCAGGGGCTAGATCTCTGGATCCTGAGATCATGACCTGTGCTGAAATCAAGAGTTGACACTTAACCAACTGAGCCACCCAGGTGCCCCCCGGAAGCATAATTAAAAAAATTTTTTTTATTTTAATTCCAGTATAGTTAACATACAGTGTTATATCAGTTTCCGGTGTACAATATAGTGATTCAACAGTTCTATACATTACTCAGTGCTCATCATGATGAGTGTACTCTTTAATCCCCATCACCCATTTTACCCATCCCTCTACCCACCTCCCTCTGGCAACCATCAGTTTGTTTATTGAAGAATAATTTATATATCATAAAATTGACCTATTTTAGGTGTACAATTGAATTGTTTTTAGAAAATTTGTACAGCTGTACAACTACCACCACAATCCTGTTATAGAACATTTCTATCATCTGAATAAAATCTTACCTGACAATACAACCAATCAATTCCCCTTTCTCACCCTCAGTTTCAGGCAATCAGCACCCTGCCTTTTGTCTCTACAGATTTGCCTTTTCTATCTTTTTGATTATAGCCATTCTAGTGGGTGTGAAGTAGTATTTCACTGTGGTTTAAATTCGCATTTCTCTAGTGACTAATGACGTTGAGAATCTTTTCATGTGCTTATTAGCCATTTGTACATCTTTCTTTCTTTCTTTTTAAAGATTTTATTTGTTAGAGAGAAAGAGAGAGAGCACAAGCAGGGGGAGCGGCAGGAATAGGGAGAAGCAGACTCCCTACGGAGCAGGGAGCCCGATGCGGGACTCAATCCCAGGACCCCGGGCTCATGACCTGAGCTGAAGGCAGACACTTAACTGACTGAGCCACCCAGGTGTCCCTGTACATCTTTTTTTACACTGATTTTAGAGCACATGCACACTTGCATGCACCAGCAGGGACGGGGGAGGAGAACAAAGGGTGAGGGAGAGAGAAAATCTTAAGCAGGCTCCATGGCAAGCATGGAGCCTGATGCAGTGCCAGATCTCACAGCCCTGAGATCATGACCTGAGCCGAAATCAAGAGTCAGAGGCTTAACTGATTGAGCCACCCAGGCGCCCCTAGGCTGGTTATCTTTGCCTTAAACATAATTATTTAAAAGTTCCCTTTTGGGGGCGCCTAGGTGGCTCAGTCGTTAAGTGTCTGCCTTTGGCTCAGGTCATGAACCCAGGGTCCTGGGATCGAGCCCCTTTTTGGGCTCCCTGCTCAGTGGGAAGCCTGCTTCTCCCTCTCCCACTCCCCCTGCTTGTGTTCCCTTTCTCGCTGTGTCTCTCTCTGTCAAATAAATAAAATCTAAAAAAAAAAAATGTTTTAAAAAAATAAAAGTTCCCTTTTGGGACACCTGGGTGGCTCAGTTGGTTAAGCGTCTGCCTTTGGCTCGGGTCATGATCCCAGGGTCCTGGGACTAAGAGCCCTATATAGGGCTTCCTGCTCAGTGGGGAGTCTGCTTCTCCCTCTCCCTCTGCCCCCCCCTCTCTCGTGCTCTTTCTCAAATAAATAAAATCTTTAAAAAATAAATAAAAGTTCCCTTTTGTTAGAAGGGAAGAAGATAACTGGACATTCTCAATGCTCCACTTTGAAGTGATACCTGCCTCAGCTTCTCGAAAAAGAAGTTTTGAAAGTTATATACATAGGTTTCATTTAAATTATGCAGCACTCTTTCTTTTTTTAAGATTTTATTTATTTATTTGAGAGAAAGAGCACACAAGCAGGGGCAGAGTGAGAGGGAGAAGCAGATTCCCTGCTGAGCAGGGATCCTGACTCGGGGCTCGATCATGAGCTGAGCTGAAGGCAGATGCTTACTTAACTGACTGAGCCACCCGGGTGCCCCTGCAGCAGTCTTTTCTTATTGTTGTCCCAGATTTTGTATAATGAAGATCTCTGTCACCAAATCAAGTATGGTATTTCACGACTATACGAATGCTAATCACTAGCAGAAAGATAACAGCACCCAAAGCCATGATGGCTTTTATTTTGCATCCATGCCACCACATTTCCTTCGAAGTTGTTTGGACCTGTTGCTAAAAGCAGCTGCATTATCCAATAAGTTTTCTATATCACATAGAGGATGGAGAGAATTAAATGACCTAACAGGATTCTTTTATCTTTGTAATATTTTCTTGCATGACATCAATAATTTCATCCACTTCATTCTGAACATGCTTAATTTCATCATTTCTAGGTCCAGATCCTGGCCCAGATGGTCCCCTTAGAAAAAAGTCCACTTCTTCATCTGAATCATCTTCCAAAAGACTTCTCCTTTCACTTTTCACAAAACCAGTGACATCATCATCATTTAGGTG